TTCATACCTAATGTCAACCTTGATTGGAAATAGAGAAAATACAAATATGCAATATTCTCCATATGGGTAGGATTCACGTGACATAAAGTTGTTTTCGTGAGATACGTGAGATACGATTTTTACACTTAAAATTTCACAACAAAATGTTGTGAAGATAAAAGAAACTGAATCTTCACAGGTTATCTTAACAGTATTTTGCTGTGAAGTTTTAAGTGTAAAAATTGTGTTTCACGAAAACAATCTTGTCTTACATGATTTCGAGTCTTCTCAAAAACTTGTGCGAATAAATTTTTATGTTCTAGAACCATCCAATAAGTTCTTTTTTATATTCTTTACTCACTTCGAAGAAAAAATACTAGGACACCCAATGTTAAACTTTATTGTGTCGTTAATCACATTTCATTCATGAAATAGATTTGATTTTATCTTAACAAATTATATATTATTTTTTAAATAATTTAAAATTAAAATCTTTAAAGAATATTATATTCAGTTTTAACAGATTTTTATTCTAAAGATGCAAAATTAAATATATTATTAAAATATTTAATATTTTTTATTATTTTAATACTTTTTTAAAAAAACTTCATATAAAATAAATATAATTCAACTTTATTGATGAGAATAAATGAGAAATAGTTTATGGGGTGTTTGATTAAAGGTATTAAACATTAATCAATGAGATTGAAAATAAAAGTAATTGTTTGGTATTATATAATATAATGGTTTATTCTCCCAGAAACCTAAATTTTCATTCCAGATTAAACTGGGAGAAATGAAAATTCATTCATATTTTCATTTTTTGAGCATGAACCAAACAACCCCTTACTCTACTCATATAGAATTCATTAATATCATCTTCAACCCAACACTAAAAACACAAAAATTGATGTGTTTTCATTTCCAACCCAACATAAAATACTAAAAATTTGAAGGTAAAAAATGTTGGCCTCTATATTTAGAGATATGTCGATAAAGTAGTGTATATATTTAGAGGTCAATAAAGCAGACATCTATGATTAAATATTAATATTTTATTCAACTTTTATAAATATATATATATATATATATAAAAGTAATATTTTGTATTAAGTTTATAATTTAGTTATTTTATGTTTGCAAATTAAAAATTATAATTTAAATAATTAATTTATTTTTTTAAAGATGAAAATTAGTAAAAATTAAAATATGAATAGTTTTATATTTAACAAAATGAAACTTAAAAAGATCAAAGATAAATGAACTTCAAAAGGCATTAATTGAACATTTGTGGAACGAATATATTAACTAAGAAAATCAATGTAATTTAATTTGCTTTTGAATGCATGTTATCTTCTACAATTAAACTACTATAATTTAGTTTATTTTTAACGTAATATTTATTAATTAAAAATTATCATTTTAATTTAATGATGTTTCATTAAATAATTTTTTTTAATTCAAGTGATAATTATCTATTAATTATAAAAATTAATTACATATTATAATTATTATTTTTTAATAATATAGGATAACAATAAATAAATATATATATTTTATTTTTATTATTATATTAAATACGTTTTTAGTGTCTGTTGGGGGTTTTTTTGTGTTTTTTTTAGTGTCTGGATTGGAGATGTCTTTAAACATAAAGATGGAGGTGTCTTTATTTCCAACTAAATACTAAAGCACAAAAAATTATAGAATTAAACTATTATAATTTAATTTGCTTTGTAACGTAATATTTATTAATTAATATTTTTAATTTTAGCGATATTTTATTAAATAAATTATTTTAAAATTCAAGTGATAATTATTTATTGATTATTGATTATTGATTATAAAAAAATTAATTGTATATTATAATTATTATGTTTTAGTAAAATAGTATAATCATAAATACATAATTTTGTTATTATTATTATTATAATATTAAAAATGTTTTTAGTATAATTGGAGTTGATTTTTTTTAGTGTTCAATGGATCCATCATTTTTAGTGTTTTTTTAGTGATTGAATTAGAAATGGTTTAAAAGCATCGTCAACATATTTCTTAAAAATAGAAAAATGGGGGTTTTGTTCACTATATTGCTTCAACATAATTTCTATATTGTTATCTAAAATAGAGAAAATATCAAATTTAAATAAATATTAAAAATTTGATGTGTGGAGAAAAAAAATTAAATTTTATATTCTCACCAATGAAATTCAATTATTATTATTATTTTATATAAATTCTTTTCAAAAAGTGATATATCTATAGAATATTTTAATAATATAATTAATGTTAAAATATTTAAAATAGAAAATTTAACTTGTGATTTTTTATTTTAAAGAAATTATAGAAGATCTGTTGGAGATGTTTTAAACTTAGTTTCCATGTTTTCTCTATTTTAAATAACAATATAGAGAATTTGTTAAAGATGCTCTAACTTTTTTAATTCATTATCATTTAATTGATGATAATGAATTAAAAAAATTACTCTCTCTACACACATCAAGTTCAAAGAATTCTCTAAACTTCGAGTATTCTTGACGTTTCTGTATTTTGGAGAATCTGTTGATATTAAAATTCATAATTAAAAACTTAGGGCTTGTTTGTTTTTTTTCAAAATTACTTTTTAATATCTCTGAAGTCCGATTCATTTAGACGTTTTGGTATTAAAAGCGTTTGTTTTATTTTTGAAATAAGAGCTTAAAAGCTCTAAATGTCATCTGAAATTTTAAGTGGTAAATGTATATTTTAATACCTCTTAATCCTAATCCGCCATCTATCACATGATTCATATTTTGTGAGCTGGAATAAATTTGTTAGCAAAAACTATTCATCTTTTCTACTTTTATAAAAAAAAAACTGTTTATCTTTTATATTTTTGCATTAGTTTCACTGATTCAGATTTCAGACGTAACAACAAACAATCTTACTGATCCAGATTTCAAACTTCAGGACCATCTCTTGTAAATCAAAAATAAAATCAGACTTCAAATTTTAATACCTCATAAAAAACAAACGTTACCTTATCGATTAATTTTTTTTTCAAACTTGACTTTTCTTTAACGATTAAAAAAATATAAAACTAAGTTTGTTGGAAATGCAATTAATATGAATTAAATACAATATCATATTACATTATCATATTTCATATAAATATTAATTTTTATTTGAAATATATTTAATATTATTTCAACAAACCACATAATTTATTTATTTCTATTTGTGCGATCACACATATTGTATTACATGGTTATAGAGTTGCATATTTCGTCCATCAACAATTTATCAATTTGCAAATCAAGTTTCTTAAGAATATCTTTTCACGATTTTGTCCAAAATAATTTAAAGTTTTCTCATTTTAGTCCTTAATGCCAATGGATTTCAGTTAAAATACGACTTGTAAGAACCAACATGGACATTTAGGGCAATTTTGTCTTTTTACTTGTTTCCTATTCAAACTTTTTTTTATATATAAGTTTTCTAATTTATGTAATCAAGGTCAAACAAGCTACACAGGTTTTCTAACTTTGGTATATACCATCATCTATCAGTGTATACACTAATTTATGTTTTATTTTCCCAATAACATGCAGACCCACATCAAGTTTTAAGTTTGCCTTTGATAGGTTGCTTTTTAGGGGGAAAAAAACTACAGAATTGCATGTATTAGTGGCAACAGTAACACCTCCAACGACGTACTGTCATGGAATATGACACTGATCAAAATTTAAAATTCTTCAATATTAACGATAACCACATGGATATTAACCTAGAGCGACGTTGGTTGTGGATTTGGTCATGACTAGATTTTTTTACTGATAGGCGTTTAATGAAACAAAATTTATCAAGTAAGAACAAAAATTCTATTTTAGGTTAACAACTAAACTACGAAACCTGAATTGGACACTACATCTGTCCTATTTATTGAATACCCTAATACGTCGATCATGTATTTTCCAATAGATCTCTCACTAGGTTTACATATTATAGATTTGAAAGACATGATAAAGGAAGATATATCCCAATCTAAGGTTTGTTACAGAATAATATAAATTATTGTCGTTACCATGAAATCTAATGTGGCAAAATCAACTATCGGAATTATAAACAACATAGCTTTTTGGATAAACGCGTTGTCATGGAGTCCTACACTCGTTAGCATGAGAGAGTGAAACTTCCTCTTCACTGAAATTACGCATCTTGAAAGCTTTCTGAATCAATTTTGCGTTTTTCATGAGGTTTTCTGATATCAAAGCAAATCTAGGGCTCCTATTTGAATCGAACGTGTTTGCAACTCGTCTTAATGACGATTGTAAGTACAAGTTACATTGAATATTGGATTCTAGTAAGAAGGAAAAAGAATGAATACCTCCTTTTTATTGTTGGATATTGCACGTTTTTTTACATTTCATCATTGTCTTTTTCATCAACTTCGATTTAAAAAGATGAACTAAGCGGTTGTTTACTAAACGATTACTGGATCATTTGCCTTACCGGATGAACATAACAAGGTCCAAGAATCTTACCTCTAAGAAAGATGATAAGGATAGCTAGTCTTACTCGATAAATGAGGGTGATGACTTTTACTTAGTAAGCGTCTACCGGGTAAATTGTGGCACACGATATTGTTCTGATAGACCACAATCTTACTTGGTAAATTAATTTAGAATGTTGACTCTTATCAGCAAACGTTTACCAAGTAAGAATTTAGGTAAACGATCCTTTAAGATGGATATGAAGATTGGTCGAAGAAAAAGATTGTGAAATTGACATGGATTACACTTAAAAAGTACTCATATGTCATGCAGATGACAAGATTTTGAGAAAATTCATTGACGGGGTTTGCATAAAGACCAAAACGAGATAAAATGGGTTATTTTGGAATAACAAGTGTAACAAAAATTCTTGATGGACTAAACATGCATATTGATAAATAGTTCAGGGACTAAACTGGTAATTTTCTATGTTGAATTTAGATTTTATTTTTTGAAATAATGTAGAATTTAGATTTGGTAGGTGAAAAAACAATGAATGATCCACTGGAATAAAGCACATGGTAATGCAAATGCATCCTCACTTCCAGTCGGTTTATTCCCCTTCATCCCTCCCATTGTCAAACCAAAGTAACGCTTGCCAGAGACCCATTTCTCTCTCGCGCCTCCGATTTCCTTTCTCTTCAAAACCCTAAAAAAGACTTCCGTATAACTTCGATCGCAGTTTAAACCTTGAAAAACCAATTGTTTAGTTCCAATCAAACAAAATTTCCCATCAATTTTATGCACAAACATTGATACATATGCGTATGATCATTTGATATACGTATATCTATCTGTATTCTCCCTGGGTTTCCGTGATCATCGCCTGAAACCCTCAAATTTATTGTGTAGTTTTTGTTTTTGTTTTTGTTTTTGTTTTGAGGCATGTCGAATTTCGGTCGGAGACGTGTTCGGGAGAACAGATTGTATTCTCCACCGGCGTTGAGAAGCAACAATCAGCCGCCGGAATTCAATCAACTGCAGAGGCAAGTAACGCCCAACCGCCAGCAGCAAGAAAAACAGGAGCAACCGGAGTCTTTGGTGGATAGTAACAGTAGGCGCAATGCTGCTATTACTAATTTGGATCGGTTCATGAAGCACACTATTCCGATTGTTACTGCTCAGCATTTCCCTAAGGTATTTACACAATTTTAAATAAAACCCCCAAATTATTGTTGGTTAATTCGTAACGGTTTTAGTAATTGACAAAATGTGGAATTTTCTCCTGAGAATTAATTGTCGATTTTAATTCGAATTCATACTTTACCCGATTCAAATCAATCATTTAGTTAACTTATTTATTTCTTGATGTTCTATTTGGTTAATTGACAGAATGTGGAATTATTTTATCGTAATTGATTGATGATTGTATGTCTGCAGGTTACAATTGGTGATCTCTTGCTTGTTTTGTGCTGTGTTTGATTAGGTTATTGATTAATCATTAATCATTGTTAACTAATATATCTGTTGATGATTTTGCAGGCAAGTTTGTGATGTGTGTTTTAGCCCTTGTTGATTATTGATTCGAATTAATATTTAAGAGGAAAATATGTATCTATTGCCAAATCTCAGTAGCTGCATCTCCCTTTTGTAATTTGAATAAAGCTTCTATGTAAAGACTGGATATTATATGCAAGCAAGAGTTCCCTTTTGTTGTTTTTAAAATTTTAATGTGGGGTTCACAATACTTGTTGATATGGGTAAGAAAGCTATTGAATTTGGGCAAATGATATGTAAAACCTTTTAAGTTTGTTGATTCAAGAAAAATCGCATCACGCTGTTTTCAATCTCTTGTGTCGGGTCTGCATAATTTCTTGATTTGAATCACACAAATGATTGTGTATTTGCTACGTTAAATGATGATTTATTGGAAAGAAAAGGATTGATGAATGTTCTTTTAGTTCAAACTTCTGAATGTGAATCTTCTGTTAATCTTGAAGCTTGCTTAATGGAGTCTTTAGTATTCATTTTATTCTTAAATGTGTTGAAAGACGGTTTTGATTTGTGGGTTTTTTGTGACGTGTAGAGTATGACGAAGGGTTGGAAGGATCATGAACGTGACCAGCCATACTTTGTGCTCGGTGATCTTTGGGAATCCTTCAGGGAATGGAGTGCATATGGAGCTGGAGTTCCTCTTATACTGAATGAAAGCGATTATGTTGTGCAATACTATGCTCCATTTCTGTCTGCAATTCAACTCTATGTCGACCCATCGGCACCTGTGATGAACGTGAGGTGAGTTATCTATGCAACTCTATGATTTTGATTGATTAATGAATAGAATGGCGTGAAACCCATTAATGGATTGTTTTCTTTATAGATATCGGAATCACCATTGTGTTCTTGAATCAAAAAGTTCACGTTACATGTTTTGCTTTTGTTGGATTAATGAGTCGTTGATCAAGAATAGTAGTCACATGAAAAAAGAAAGTTCTTTTTGCCGGTATCTAGTGATGCTTTAATCATTTACTAATACTGGAAGACGCCTTTTTTTTCGTAATCAACGCAAGTATATATTGACTTATACACAACTACAATGCTTAATATCTTGTCCATGTATATATACTATCTTAGAAAAAGCTGAAGTATATCTAGAGTTGGTTCCATTCGTTTCATGATTCACGAATTCGTTTCAATCTTTCTAGTCATCTTCCGATTAGGAATATAATCTACAGTTGTCGTTCATTTTCGGAAAAAGTTAAGCTAATCGACGGTCGTTGTTTATAGGCATGGATGTGACATAATAGATTGTTTGCAATATAGTAATTCTCTGCTGATTGCTCGAAAAACTTTCTTGATTTTTCCGACAGGAGGGCTGGTGACGGAAGTGATTCCGACTCCTCCAGGGCTAATAGTAGTGACGGGAGCTATGAAGCTGGAGCAGGCGGTCATGAACCAGAAAATACCGTTCATTCTGTTGCTCAAAGCTTCAATAAGTTCGTGCTCGATGAAGGCGAAACTGGAAACCCTAAAGGGATTCCGGTTTACGAATACTTTGAGCACGACTTACCATTTCAGCGTGCTCCTTTGGCTGATCAGGCAAGTCAAGACAGTGTGCAACTTTTTATTAAACGGTCGAAATGATATCATAAACATGTATTCCGTCTAAAATTGCATTGATCTGAGCAGGTATTGGAACTTGCATCCAAGTTTCCAGCGCTGAGAACTTATCGGAGCTGTGATCTGACTCAATTGAGCTGGTTTTCTGTAGCCTGGTAATCTCCCTTCTTTCCCAAAATAATTTGTTTATTTATGCTTTTTTCGGTTGATCAGAGTTCGACTTTGTTGTGTAGGTATCCCATATACCGAATTCCGGTTGGTCCTTCTCTTCAGAACGTGGATAGCTGTTTCTTGACCTTCCATTCTCTGTCAACTCCGTTAAGAGGTATATTTCTATCATTCTACAGGTGTGTGTGTGCGTGCGCTATATATATATATATATATATATATATATATATATATATATAGGGTCAGGTTCAGGGAAACCTGCAAAATATGAAAAACTGAGTGACACCTTGGTAACTATTCATTTGTAGTTTTGTACGTATGCTCATGTGCATACAAGTAATTTGTAAGTATTTTGTCCGGTATGCACATGTACATACAAGTAATTTATAAGTATTTTGTCCGGTATGCACATGTGCATTAAAACCAAGAATCAACTTTAGTTACTGGTTTGCACATGTATATATTTTTCACATGAACGGTTATTAGGGTATTCTTCAGTTTTTCATTTTCTTCGGGAGGTTTTCTCCTTAAACTCCCTCTATGTATATATTCTACTGTATCTGATATCCTTGAGCTAATTATGAGAATTGATGTTAATCCAGGTACAGATGGAGATAGTTCACTTATTGGTGGGTCGAGGATTAGGGAGGTTCGTGATGGCAGAATGGCTTGCTGTCTGGCATTGCCGACGTTTGGAATGGCTGTTTACAAGTTCAAGAGCTCTGACTGGATTGGAGGCGCGGTTCATGGTATTGAAAAGGTGAACTCTATGATGCACTCAACGGACAATTGGCTTCGGAGGTTGGGCGTGTACCACCCCGATTTCATGTTTTTCAAAAACCGTCCTATGTTGTGGTGACCGACGGCCTAACTGCCGGCTGGGCATAAACTAGGTGTTAAAAACAAATAGGGGCAGGTAAAAACCTACAGACTTTTTGGTTCTTTTTCTAAAACAAATTAAGAGAAAGGGTAAAGTCCATTTTTTGGATGATGAAGATGATATATTCAAATACCATATAGATTGTGGGTATGCGAGAGCAGATGTGCTGTAGTTACTTGTACTTTGTGCAGTAAAACTTGTAAATTGCTCTCTTCAGGGTTTGTTGGATGTTTTTTTAGGATGATAAGTGTTCAATTACAAATGTTTTTCTTGCATCTCTTGTGCTTGTTTGCTCTTTTTTTTTCTTCTATTAACCTAGATATCCAACCCGCTATGCAAGCTGACTACCAGTTTTGCAGCTAGTTCGGAGTCATTGCATTTGAACATTTGTGGCTATAAAGGGATTTTTATTCTTCCTTGGATTTGAACCTTGGACCTCCGTGCACTTTTGATCTTTGGAGTCCAAGCTTAAACCAATCATTTTTGTTAGATAGTGTAATTATTAATTGATATATTTTTTTGGTAAATAAATAAAATTCAAAAGAAACCTTATTTGAATTTCTAATAATATATTTATGTGAATGAAATTTAAGAGATGAAGTTCTTAATTCCTTATTATATTGGATTGATCGAGCAGGACGAGGGTGCAAGATCTGCCGACTTGGGGACAGTACGTCTTCCTTTCTTGAAATGGAACTTTCATAGAAACATAAACCTTGTTAATGATGTAAAATCATGTTCCGACTATGATAATCTTGTGAGAAATGGATTGATATACTTATGGTCGTTCGAAGGTTCATGCGTACCATACGATGTAAGTTTCTTTTATGTTAAAATATTTTTCTTTATTCAGTTACAATATTTATTGTTATTGATTATAACAACGTACGATGATGAACAGTTGGATTCTTTCATCCTGAACTCTTAGCTCCTCCCTTGTGTGTGACACCACCACAAAGGAAGTGGCCTTCTCCCGTTTCTCCGATTTCCACTGGTAGTTCAACCTACGTTGACAACGCCCGTTTCATAGCCAAAAATATATGTGGCCATGAAAGGGGAAGGAAAGTTGATATGCCAATATGCGTCTATTATTGAATTTACCCGTCATGACAATATCCATTTTGGGAATGTCTAGTGCCGGTCGTTAAATGGATAAGTCGTCAATTCCTAAAACAGACTATGAGTCTATGAGCATGTTTGTTAGTAACTTAATGGGACTCACAACCTATTTGGTCAGCTCTACATGATTGTTTGGTAGTAGCTTAATGATATATAAAACGACTTATTCAGTAAGCTTTCAGGGGGAGAGCTTTATGTAGAAAGTTAAACTTTTTTTCAAAGTTGTTCCTCCCAATTAAAGAACAAGCTTCTTCCATCCACAAAAAAACTCTTACAAATAAAAACCTTCACAATCTATATAGACAGATTAATTCGCATAGAAAGATTTATCCATACATAACTTAGGGGTTGTTTGATTGTTTTTTTAAATAAGGAGTTGTTTACCAAAAATTTTATTAAGTCCTGTATGGATAAATTTGTCTGTCCGGATAAATGAGTGTTGTTGTTTATTTTTTTTATCTGAACCAACAGTCTGAATAACATAAATGACCGATTTACCCCCCAATACTAATTATTTGAACATCAAAACAAAAAATAATAAAGAGGTTGATGATAGGGTGTCTCATTTGTGAAGGAGACGATGCTTTAAATAAGGGGTAAGGGTGTCATTTTTGTGGCTGAATGGAGACAACACACTATTTCTATCTGTGTGATTAAGTCATGTTCTATGCGAATAAGCCGTAAGTAAACAACCCAAATGAGCTGTACGAATAAGCCAGATAGACCAATAAGCTTAATTAAGCCGCAAGTAAACAGCTCATAAGTCGTGTATAGATAAGTTGTATGTATGGATCAATCTGTTTGTAGAGACTGAGAAAGTTTTTGTTTGATATGGTTTACTCATATATGAAACGAGCATGTTTTTTAATTAGGAGTTTCATACAGAAGGTTTCTGTATGAAACTCCCCTCTACAATTTTACTGAATAAGTCACTTTTTATATCATGAAATTATTACCAAACAGTTATATATAACTAACAAATAAATTGTTCTTACACCGTTAAAATGCTAACAAACAGAACGTTAACAAAAATTACCAATCAAACAAACTTATACGTTGTTATGTAGTAATTGTATTTTATATGGTGGGGCCGGTGGCAGTGAATACGTCTGAGCGAAAAAAGTTTGCATGTTTAGAAAACATGAATAATACATGTTTAAACATACGATTGATGTAACAAAAGCAGCTCTCGTAGCTCAGTTGGTTAGAGCACCCGTTTAGTAAGCGGGAGGTCTTGAGTTCGACTCTCAACGAGAGCATAGACTTTTTCTAAACTCTCTTTTTTCTGGGCTTGGGCTTGGGCTCATTATTATTGGGCCTACTAAATCATCGAGGCTTTCACCCATATTTAACTCTGTTTCTCGGTGTGATCGAGTTGTTTTAAATCTCGGGAAAAAATCAACGGAGATTTAAGTGGTGTCCCTGATCAGTTTTCCAGTGATCTACAATTGTCTGCTGTCAACGATGACCTTATTTGTCTCATGATCTTCGACAAGATGCTTAGGAACGTATATACAAACACACACTAATACACATTGACTATGTGAAAAGTATTTGTCTTCGATTCATTATCATTGCCTTAATTTACTAAATCTATGTTCCTATTTGATATGTGGTTACAGAAAATTAAATAGATGATTAAATATTTAAAATATTTCTTAATAAAACAAAATCAAAAAATAAAAAATGTTTTAAAATAATTTAAATTAAAAAAAAAACACAAGAATGTAGAAAAAATATTGAAATAAAGAAGGGAACTAACATGTCGGCCTAATTAAACACAAAATTGTAATGAAATAAAAATAAATAAATAAAAGGGACCTACATACAAAAAAATTCCAATCACTTTGGAGTTTGGATGGTGGAATACAACTCCGTTTTTGTACCTTGAGAATATGACATCGTTTGGTCAAGCCCATCTCACGTGACACTTTGAAAAACCTAATCTCAAAACCATCCCACCGCCAACTTAGTCAATAGGGCTTTAATCGTCATTTCACCCATTTATAAAATAGCTGAAAATTCATCAAAATAGCTGATATCCTTAAACAAGTTCACTTTTTAGTCACTTTTGATATTGAATTCCCATTTTAGCTGAAATTCACGTAAAGAATTTGAACGAAAAAATAGCTAAAAAGTGAATTTGGTTGAGGAGGTCGGCTGTTTTGGCCAATTCCTCTATTTTCGTTATCGAATGAACGTTTCAAAACATATCAGGTTCAAATTTTCAAACGAAAATTCACCAATTTTCCTTGATCTGAAGATACCTAGAAAGACCAAAAATGAACCCGTATTGGTTTCTTTTTGCAAACTATATGGGTTTTATTATTTATTTTAAATTCTCTTATTTTCTATATTCAGTTTACGATTTGATATGAAATCAAATCAGTTCCAAGTATATTTACGTCACCATGAATTTGGTTTCGTTATCTTTCATTTTTTTCGACTTTTATTTAATCTTATCGACACTTTAACTAACAAAACCTACTCTTTGTATTTATTATTAATTACATAAGTGTTAGATTGCTATAAATAGAAACTAAGCATGTTAGGGTTTCAAAGGTTACCTTAATTAAATAGACACATGGTCCTTGGTAGGAAGGTACAAACCCATTGAGGACCATACAAACACTTGGCTCTTAAGCCACAATGACCTACCAAAAACCATTAGGTGTGTTAAAAGTCCATCCAACCAAAGGGCATTGTTGTCCATCTTTTCTGACACCCTTTTCAAAACACTTCCAAAATTCCAATTATTTTAAACAATGCTACATGGTAAAAGCTTGGACAGGGGAGGTCAAATTACCTTTTTACCCTTTACTTTTGTGAATTTATATGGTTTGTAGCTCGAAAGAAGGATGGTTCTTGAAGGTGTAAACGTTTAAGTGACGGGAAACACTGATTTAGGTACTTTTTTGTCGTATCGGAGTTAGCTGTAGTATATAAGAGTTGATTGTAAAAACCAGTATTAGTGTTTCCATATGAATGTTCATGTTCATTTTTAAAACAGTAATGATGTAAGAGAATTCAAGAATATTGTACGACAAGTAATTTTTTATCAACAGGAATCCGTGATGAGAATCAACGATAGTTTTTAAAAAGAACATTCACTGTTTCCGTAAAAAAAATTATTGATCTACACGACATGAATTTGATACGAATATTTCTAATCATTAGAGCCATGTTAGGGAAAGTAAGAATGGGAATTTTGAAGAATGTATGGTAAATTTTTCAACACGATGCCACCAAGCATTTTGTGGCATATCTAGGAGTGTAAACGGGATGAGACAACTCGCGAGCTACTCGAGATCAACTTGATCAAAGCTCGGCCAACGCTCGACTAGAATAGGTTCGACTCAAACTCGAGCTCGACTCGATATATTAACGAATCGAGTCAAGCTACCCAATACTCGACTCGAAAAGCTTGTGAGATACTCGATTATTTTATATATAATTAGTTTTAAAATATAATCAGCTTTTATGATGAAATTTATAAAATATAAATAATAAAAATGTCTTATATTTTTAGATATTTAAACAAAATTATGCATTTTTTAATTATACAAATTAATCAATTAATTTTTTTATTAAAATCACAACTAAAACGGACCAACAAAAACTATAAAAAGAGTTGGTGAAATTGTCCCACATTGGAAGATAGATGGTAAAGAAAGGGGGAAAATGTAATAAAAAAGAGAGGGATGTAAATGAAATTTCTAACTTTGTTTTTTTATAATGAAATTTGAAGTTGATCCCTTTAGTTTCATAAAAACTAAGAGAACACCTTTAAGTTTTAAAATTTATAAGATAAAGACTCTAAAATTTCACAAATTTCAATGGGTGAACTTGGTTCGAGCTTGATTCAAGCTTGATTTGAGTCAGTTCGAGTTTGATTTCGAGCTTGAGAAATAGTAATCGAGTTCGAGTCGAGCTTTGATTTTTACTACTCGTGAGTTTTTGAGTCAATTTCGAGCTTGGAATTTGGGTTTCGAGTTTGAGACGAGTATAATGATACTCGAGCTCGGCTCACATCATTTACACCTTTAGATATATTATTAAAGTTAACATCTTTCAAAAATAATCATTTCAACATAATTCTTAATAACAATAAAATAACAAAAATCTAAAGAACAAAATAAAAATTATCAACAAAAAAAGTTAACAAATGTTGCATTTCCTTGAACTTTTTTTTATTAACCTGAAAATCCGATCCGTTATGTGAGCCGACAAATCCCAGGACGATTATCTGTTTTGCAGGTAAACCGGAGTCACCACATTTGAACATCCGTGACCACAAGAGGATTTTTATTTCTCTTTGGATTTAAACTGGAACCTCCAGACATTTTTGACTTTTGGAGCTCAAGTTTAAACCAATAATGCACTATCCTTGTGGTTTCCTTAAACTTTCTAATTTTTGTTGCCTTTTCATGTTTGTTTCTAGTATAAAAAATGCTAATGTTGTCAAAACTTTGAACATTTTTCTAAATCTATCAGATATATAGTTGTGAGTTTTTAGGAAAGCAACAACGCTTAAGGGCGGAGGTATGGTCTATATACCCTCCTTAGAAACCTAATTTCGACCAAGATTTCTAAGTTTGTTCGATTTAGGGGTCGTTACCAAACACTTACCATGTAAGTGCTTACCGGCAAGATTTAACACTATTATTTACTTACCGGGTAAGATTTTAGTCTACCAAAACGACATCGTATGCAACAATTTACCCAGTAAGCGCTTACCGTGGTAAGAGTCGTTGCCCACATTTACCGGGTAAGACTTTTGGTCTATGTTTTACTCTTACCGGTTAAGATTCTTGGTCTTTACCATATTCATACGGTGATGTAAAGTTACTTAGTAAGCGCTTATCCGGGTAAACGCTTGGTAAATGGCCCCTTAGTTCTGCTTTGTCTTAAGAGTATCTGCAACAAAATATTTAAAATACAGATAGTGGTATTTTATTCTCTGTTTTTTCAACATG